TTATTACCTTAGCACCAGGTCCGGATCTACGAAGTTCAGATTCCTTCAGGTGGGTGTTGTTTGGATCTGGCTGCTGTGCTCCACTTCTTTCTGCTGCAGGCCTTAGAGTTGAACCCTTTGTGTCTCTCTGGGAAGATGTTCTGCTCCAGAATCAGCTGGGTGGGTCTTGCCTCTAGCCTCTTTGCAGGGAGTTCTGCTGAAGGGTTCCCTGTTGGGCCTGCAGCCTGGGTCGAATGAGGATCCAGCGGGCCCCGGGTCGTCTCACTCACTCACCGGGCCTGCGCTCTGGGTCTGTTCAGGATCCCGCAGCCTGGGTCGTCCTTTTTTTTTTTTGCCTTTGAGACAAGGTCTTGCTATGCAGTTCAGGCTGGCCTTGAGCTCACTTTGTAGCCCAGGCTGGTCTCCAACTCACAATGGTCCTCCTGCCTCAGCCTCCCAAGTGCTGGGATTACTGGTGTATGCCACTATGCCCGACTTGTGTTGGCTTCTTTTACTCACTGTCCTGCCTGTGTGCTTCCTCCATATTGTCAAGAATAGCAGGGAAGGGGCTGGGGAGATGAGATGGCTCAGTAGGATAAGCGCTTGACTAGCAAACACAGGGATCTGAGTTCAATCCCCAGTTCTGAAAAAAAAAAGGGTAACAGGGCTTTCTCTCTCTTTTTTTTTCTTTGTAGAACCGAGGATGGAACTCAGGCTCTTGCGCTTGCCAGGGAAGCACTTATTCTATTGAACCATCTCCCCAGCCTCGGGCTTTCTCCTTTTTAAGACAGCATCTTTTCACTTTGCCTAGGCTGGCCCCAGACTCCTATTAGAGCCAAGCAGTCCTCCTCTCCCAGCCTCCCAAAAAGCTTCAACTATGGGCATACACATTGTACTGGGCCCTTGTTCCTTTTTATTGCTGTGTAATATTCTGCACTGGATGATTTGATCTCTTTCTTTTCAGGACCAGGGATTGAACTCAGATCCTTGCACTTGCCAGAAAGGGACTTCTTCTACTGAGCTGTTTCCCCGGCCCTTTTTTTCCATACTGAGATTCCATCCAGGGCTGGTGAGATGGCTCAGTGGTCTAAAGCACCTACTTAGAACAAGCTTAGCAAAGTGCAGGGACCATGGTTCAATCCCCAGCACCACATGCCAGCCAGCACCGCCCCCTGGTGGGCTGAGCTGGCCACACACACACACACACACACACACACATAAATAAAATTAAAAAAAAAAAAAAGAAAGAAAGCTTTGGGGCTGGGGAGATGGCTCAGTGGAATAAGCACTTCCCTGGCAAGTGCAAGGGCCTGAGTTCAATCCCTGGTTCCGCCAAAAAAAAAAAAAAAAAAAAGAGATTCCATACAGGGCTTTCACACTGGGCTAGATCCCTAGCCCTTTTTCACTTTTCATTTTGAGACCAGGTCTTTCCACACTGCCTAGTTGCCCAGGCAGGGCTCAAAGTCACAATCCTCCTGCCTCAGCCTCCTGAGTTGCTAAATGTCAGGCATGTGTCACTGTGCCTGCTCTAAGCGATTTTTGTTTCAGCAGCAAGAACAGACTATAAAACATGCACAGACAAGTGGACTAGGCTGCAGGTACAGTTTAATAAGGTGACACTGACAGCAGATACTGGAACAAGTATGGCCTCCCAGACCTCAGCCCCTGTGGACCCAGAATGAGGCTGCCCTCCTGTCCACCTCACACCAGCCATCCACAGAGACTGGGTCCTCAGATTGCAAGTCCTAGTCTGGGAGGGACCCTGCCATACAATATAAACTAAAAAGGCCCAGGCTGGAGCTCGGTGCGAAGGTGCAGGGCTCCATCTCCGCAGCCTCTAACACAAACGAAAGGTGGAAGGAGAAGAGAGGAGTTTGCAGTGGGCAGCAGCCTCGCTGCCGCCCCGAGGGACGTGGCCACGCCCTCCCTACTTCTCCCTGCCCTCGGCGTTCTCCCTGATGCCCGGGGTGAAGGGCCCCACCAGCCACGTGACGGGCACGTTCTGGGCCACAGACTCCACCATGCGCTCCAGGGCCTCACGCGCCTGGGCCACACGCTGGTGGCTCTGAGCAAGGACGCTGGCGGACAGGTCCTGGAAGGAGCGGGCTCCAGCCAAGGTGGCCTGCAGGTCCTCGACGTGGCGGCGCGCCTGCTGGGCCTGGTCCTTCACGTGCGCGGGCAGCCCCTGGATGCTGGTGCCCAGGGACACACAGGTGCTCTGTAGCTGCTGCACCACCTCACGGCACATGGCCAGTGCCCGGGACTCCACCTAGGGGGACAGCAGGATGCAGGACTTCGCAGTGGCTGGGTGTGGGGCTTTTCCAGGGCAGAGATTGAACGCTGGCCCTCAGCACTGAGCTACACCTCTGGCCCATTTTATTTTGTGGTTTTTTGGTTTTTGGGCGGAACTGGGGATTGAACTCAGGCCCTTGCGCTTGCCAGGGAAGCGCTTATTCCACTGAGCCATCTCTCCGGCCCCTTATTTTGTGTTTTGAGACAGGGTCTGTCACCAAGTAGCCTACAGTGGGTTTGAGCTTGTGATCATCCTGCCATCTGGGCTGCAGGCTGCATGCACCACTGTGCTGTGCTCAGCTCAGCAATTTTATTCATTCATTCATCCATTCAGTCTGAGACGGGCTCACTATGTAGCCCAGGCTGGCCTCCAATTTTGCAGCAATCCTCTTGCCTCCATCTCCCGAGTGCTGGGATTGCAGGTGTGCACCACCACACCTGGCCCAATGTACTCTTGTGATACCAGCGTTCAAGAGACTGAGAGAGGAGGGTTGAAAGTTCGAGCCCAACCTGGGCAACCCAGCAAGTTAACAGGACCTTGTCTAAAAATACAAAGTGGAACAATCAGATGTGGTGGCATGGGCCAACACTTAGGAGGTTGAGGGAGAAGGATTGCTAAGAGGCTGAGGTGCCCAGTCTGGGCTGGAACGTGGGAAGTGGCATCGATCTAGTAACATCTAGATCAACAGGCAGCTCCAGGGACAATAAAAGGCCTTGCCTGGGACAGTGTGGACCGGGCCAGAGACTTTGTTTGAAAGGTTGCTGTAAGGAATTTGTGAATAGCAAGCTTGTGCTGGGACCGTAGGAACAGAAGGTCTAGGGGACAGAGGGTAGCTGTCTCCTGGGTTAGCACTTGCAGGCTGAGCCAATAGGAGCGCCCTAAATTTACAAGCCACATCTGAGGAGAGAAATCCTGAAGGACTTCCTGGGGGGCCATTATGTGTCTGACAACAGGATGGAGCAAGGCTGCCGGCAGAGGCTGCCGGCAGGGCCGCGGGGCACACCCTCCAGGCTTTGGTGGGGCCCACACTCGCTGCTACCCGGTGGGTACCTCCGGCTTGGCTGGGTCCTCTGTGCTCTGCGCTTTCTGGTTCCAGCTCAGCCACATCTGGTGCAGCTTCTCCTGCCCCTCCACAAGCTTCTGGTCCACTCCCCCCTTCACGGTTTCCATCTGCAGCAGAGAGAGCGGAGTGAGGGACGGGAGCTCCTCTGGAGAGCTGAGGGCGCTCCTTTCCCATCCGACTTTATTTGTTAAACTGTGTTGGAGATGGAACTCAAGCCCTTCTCTCTAAGGTACATTTGCAGCCCTTTTCTACTTATTTTGACACGAGGGCCCGTTCAGTCACTCAGTTGCTCAGGCTGGGCTCCCATTTGAGATCCTCCTGCCTCAGCCTCCCACATCTGGCACACTGAACGCACAGCCCCAGCCAGATGCACCCAGTCGAGGTGAGAGATGCTCTGCCCAGCACGGGAAGGACCGCCCCCGCTGCCCACACAGTCCCCTCCGCCCAGCCCCCACTCACCAGACTGAGCGCATGTGCCAGCTGCTGCAACGCTTCCTGCGCATGCTCCTTGGTGCTACGCAGCTTCGCCAGGGAGTGCTCATAAGCGTGCTGGCGCAGCCGCTCGGAGAGTGAGCCGAGGCGCACGAAGTAGCTCTGTTCCTGTCGCTGCTGCTGTACTGAAGCCACATCAAAGCCCTCCAGGGACGTGGCGAGCCGCTCTGGGGCGGGTAAGAGGTCCTGGTGAGGCCAGGCTTCATGCCGCCCTCTGTGCCCTGGTCCCAGGACTCACAAGCTGCCGGGGTCTTGGAGTAGAACCCAAGTAGTCCCATCATCACGCCCCTGGCTCGGACCATACCAGCTTTCTTGCAGATCTTGGAACATGCTCCTACCCCAGGACCTTTGCACTGGCTGTTCCCATTAGTGGGAACATTTTCTCGCTGGGTCCCGCATCTAGAATGGGACCTGGCATTCAGCAGGCACTCAAACCCTTACCTAAAACCATGTAGAAAGAGATTCTAGGGGCCTGGGGAGATAACTCAGTGGAATAAGTGCTTGCCTGGCAAGCGCAAGGTCCTGAGTTTGATCCCTGGTACCACCAAAGAAATAAGAAAAAAAGAAACAGCTTCTAATCTGTTGTCCCCCCTCTAGCCTGTACCACCCCCAGGCCTCTTTGTTTGCTTAAAAGTTTTAAGTGCCTGTGGTGCTGCATACCTAATGTCCTAGCACTCTGGGAGGCTGAGGCAGGAAGAATGCCACAAGTTCAAGCCCAGAAAGGGCACGTTTGTGACTTAAAGAGATTCTGTCTTGAAATAAAAAAGGCCTCAGTGTGAAGGCCCTGGGTTCAATACCCAGCTCCCCCAACACCCCCCCCCCCCAAAAAAAAGGCTCACTGAGCATCTGCCATATGCTAGATGCTGGAGCTATGTTCAAGATCAAAAATTGCCCCTCACAGAATTCACCATCCCAGTAACAAAATCAAGCTAAGAAGAAAAAAATAAAAAATCAAGCTAAAGCAAAAGCGGGACTGAATAGGGGCTGGTGAGATGGCTCAGTGGTCTAAAGCACCTACTTACAACAAGTTTAGCAAAGCACAGGGACCGCGGTTCAATCCCCCAGCCCCACAGGTCAGCCAGCCGTGCCCCCTGGTGGGCTGAGCTGGCCACACACACACACATAAAAATAAAATAAAAAAAGCGGGACTGAATAGATATTTCTGAGGAGGCAGTATTTAACTTGAGCTAAATGGTCACAGGGCACAGCTAGGGCAGTAGCTGAGGGAGAGAGTGGCACAGAGTGAGAAGAAGCCGAGAGGGGCCCAGGCGGCTGAACAGGGCCCTGAGGGCTGCAAGCCCGTGAACTCCAGAGCACAGAGGGAGGCCCAGACTTGGTGCTCAGGGCGCCCCCTGGTGGCTGCTGTGGGGAAGACAGGCTGCTGGATTGAGCACATGGAAGGCAGCAGGGGCACGACAGCCCAGGGTCCCGCACTCACCCAGTTCAGCATTTGTCATGGGCAGGTGGTTGTCCGCCCAGGCTTCCGACTTGTCCAGCACAGTCTCTGCCCCACTGAGCACCATCTGTCCTACGCGCGACCCCATGACCGACTGGACGCCACTGGTTACTGCTGACTTGGTCACGTCCACGCCACTCTGCACAGCCCCACGGGTCATGTCCACCGCGCCTGCCACGCAGGTGGCCACAGAGTCCTTGGCACTCGACACCGTGTGGGACACCATGTCTCGGGCCTCTGACACCTTAGTTGACACGAGCTCTTTGGTGTCTGCCAGGACCTGTAAGACAGGACCCCCACATCTCTGTCCCTAGGGGCCCCTCTGTTGCACCCTGAGATATTCTGCCTCCCGAGGCAGCTATGAACATGAGCCACAAAAGCTGGGGATGCAGCCTGGGGCAGAAGCCCAGGGTTCCATGCACTGCAAGGCCAACCCCTCCCCCCATGAACTCTGAGGTCAGAATGCCCAGGGTCTTGTTTCTGGCTTACTGCTCCCTAGCTGTGTGGCCTCTGACAGGTCCCTCTACTTCTCTGGGCCTCCCCATCCTCCTCTTGGGGAATAGGGGTGGCACTGTGTCTTCCTAAGGAAGTCATAAATTGAAGGCCTCAATTCCAGCATGTTAAAATGTGACTGTATTAGGGGCCAGGGAGATGGCTCAGTAGAATAACTGCTTGCCTGGCCAGTGCAAGGACCTGAGTTCAATCCCTAGTTCTGGAAAAAAACAAAAAAGTGACTGTATTGAGAGACATTCTTACAGTGGTCATTAAGGTTAAGGTGGTTGTATATGGTGGAAATCTTAGCACTCTGGGAGGCTGAGGCAGAAAGATCTCAAATTTGCCTAGCCTGGGGCTGGAGAGATGGCTCAGTGGTCTGAAGCACCTACTTAGAACAAGCTTAGCAAAGCATCAGGGACCACGGTTCAATCCCCCAGCACCACATGCCAGCCAGCCCCGCCCCCTGGTGGGCTGAGCTGGCCACACACACCTCTCTCTCTCTCTCTCTCTCTCTCTCTCTCTCTCTCTCTCTCAAATAAATAAAAAAATTAAAAAAAAAAAAAAAAAATTTGCCTAGCCTGGGCAACTTAGTGATTTAGTGAGACTCCATCTCAAAATAAAAGATAAAGGGTTGGGGATGGAGCTCAGTGAGAAGGCCCTGAAATTCATCTCTAATGCAGAAAAAAAAAAAAAAAAAAGAAAGAAAGGAAGAAAGAAAGAAAGAAAGAAAGAAAGAAAGAAAGAAAGAAAGAAGAAAAGGATTTACCAAATCAGAGATTGGTCTCAGTTATTTAACCCAGCCTCCTAGGCAGGCAGCAGCATGGAAATGTAAATGAGTGGGTGGAGCCACATGTCAATAAAGCTTTATTTACAAGAACAAGCAGGGGGCCATTCTTGGCCTCCTTTTCTAGGATTTGAACCTAGTCTGTTCTTAAGCAAAGCAGTCAGTCTCAGAATTCTGTGGTTCGATCCCCAGTTCCTCATGCCTTACCAGACCTGCCCTTAAGGCATCCTGAGCAGGCCAAAAAAAAAATTTTTTTTTCTGAACCTAGCCTATTGAGCCCGCAGGCATAGCATAACACCAGGGTTAATGGCCACACTGAGCTGGGTGTCGGTGGCACTCTTCAACAGGAAGTTAGGAAGATCGCAAAGCCTGGGCAACTTAGCAATTCAGGGACACCTTGTCTCAAAATCAAAACAAAAAAATGTTTTGGTTGTTCCTGGCTCAGCCCATCCTTGGGGTGGGGCTGGCACAGCATGTGGGGTTGGAGATCACACTGGTCCCTGGGCTCGCCTAAGCATGCCTAAGTAGGGGCTTTAGACTGCTGAGCTAGCTCTCTGTCCCCCAAAAAAACTATTTGAAGGGGCTGGGGCTGGAGCTCAGTGCAAATGCCCTGGATTCTATTCCCAGGCCTGAAAACAAAAAAAATCGCACTGGGGGCACCCTGTCCTACAGACCCTGGGGAGCTACCTCTCCCAGGAAGAAAAGCCACCCCCGGGGTCCAGGAGGGGAGATCGCAGGCCCAGAACCTGGCCTACAGGGCTGGCCAGGGTGATGTGAAGAGCTTGGCCTTGCGCTTGGCTTCTATTCAGGGAAGGAATGCAGCCTTGGCGGATGCTCACTCCTCAGTGGCAGGGAAGAGAAAGCAGAGCTGAGCCTGCAACAGCGGGGGCTCCTGGGGACATCTACCACGGTCCCTGCAGCTTCCTGGGCTAACCAGCTAAGTTGTGTGTGAACATAGCTCAGGGCCAGCATATACTCTGGTGTGTATATGGCAGGCGCTGGGGAGGCGCCAGGTGAAACACTGCTCCTCAGCACAGGCACCAGGGAAGCCCCGAGGGAGCTGGGCGGAGGACTCACACCAGCACAGAGTGCCCCTTGCCAGCCCCTCTGCACCTACCCACTCCCCAGAGTGAGAAGTGAGCCCTGGGTCTTTCTTGTTTTGGTACCAGGGACAGAACCCAGGGCCTCTGCACTGAGCTGCATTCCCAGTCTTATTTATGTATTGTGAGGCAGGGTCTCACTCTCTAGCACCACCTGGCCTTGAACTTGCTCATGTAGCCCAGAACCTGGCCTGAGGGCTGGACAATGTGATGCTGAGAGCTTGACCTGGTGCTGGCTTTGAACTCACAGGGACCCTCCGGCCTCAGCCTCCCCAGTCCTGGTATTACACGCCTGAGTCATCACGCCTGGCTACCTTTTCATTTTACTTTTTTGAGATGAGTTCTTGCTAAGTCACTAACTCACTCCTGCTGGGTTCAAACCTGCCAACGTGCTGCCTCAGCCCCTGGTGGTGCTAGGACGGACAGGTGTGTAGCATCCTGCCTGCAGCTTCTGATGGAGCTGCTGTCCTCACCTTTCCTGTAGGCTGCTGCAGGATGGGCAGGTTCTCCTCCAGCTTGTCCAGCCCCTTGTGGGCGTACTGGCTGGCTGATGCAACTGTGGGAGGGGGAGGAGACAAAGGAAAAAAAAATCTGACCGTGGAGCCAGGTGTTTGGCGCTCGCCCATCATCCTCGCACTCGGGAGGCTGAGGCAGGATTAAGAGTCCAAGGCCAGCCTGAACTGCACACCGAGACCCTCGCTCAAGTAACTCGCGACTCCAGCGATGACCGCTGCAGCTGAGGCCCCTGGGGCTGGTCTTGCGGGGCGGGGCCAAGGCTGGGGCAGATGCCCCGCTACGGTCCGGAAGTCCCCACGTTCCAGGGCCGCCCTCACTCACGCTGAGGCTCCAGCCGGGACAGGATGGGCTGCGCCCCGCTGACGGCAGCCGCAGTGAGGGTCCTCACGCCTTTCTCCGCCGCGTCGCACACGGTCCTGACGTGGGGGTGACTCTCCTTGGTGGACGCGTAGGCCGCCGACACCATGCCACAGGTGGAGCTGATGAGCGGCAGGTTGGTCACGCGGTCCACCACGCTGGGCTGCGCGGGCGGCAGAGGCAGCAGAGGGTGGCGGGCATCAGCCGGCACCCGCGCGCCGGGTTTAGCTGTGCCCGGAGGCTGGGCCCGCATCATCCGCCCACTGAGCTCCAGCCCAGCCCAGCCCTCTCTTGGTTGTTCACTGTGGCCCACAGGTGGTGCTGGGTTCATCCAGGAGATCGGACTCCCAGGTGCTCTGGGGTCACCTGGCTAAATCGGCACTGTTCCCGGTTCACAAGCAGGGAAACTGAGGCTACAAAAATTATCCCCTGACACAAATCAAGCTGACCCTGGATCTGAGCAGTGTGCTGTAGCGTCACCACTCTGTGCTGCGGGGACATCATTCAGCCGTGGGCCTGCGCAGGTCTCCAGCACCACAAAAACAAAAACTTGGCTTTACTGGGGGTTCCAGCGATTGGCTCCGAGAACGGCCCGGAGACAGGAAAACTGAAGTGCAGGCACGAGTCCTGACAGTGGGAAGGAAGAAATGGCCCAACTGCCTGCCAGCAAGGGAAGAGGTTAAAAAATGCATTTTAAAAAAATGCATAAAACATGTTTTGAGGGGCTGGGGAGATGGCTCAGTAGAATAAGTGCTTCCCTGGCAAGCTCAAGGGCCTGAGTTCAATCCCTGGTTCCACAAAAAAAAAAAAAAGAAAAAGAAAAAAAAAAAAAAAAAAAAAAAAAAAAAAACATGTTTTGTGCTGGGCATGCCTATGAACCCAGCACCCAGGAGGCTGAGGCAGGAGGACTGCCCTGAGTTCAAGCCAGCCTGGGCTACATAATGAGTATAAGGTCTGCCTGAACTACACTATATTAAGGAAAAAGAGCCCCCACCCATGCTGCCCATAAATCATGGGGTTGGGGTCGCCCAGCCACAGGCTGACCTACCTGCTGTATTGGTTCCTCTGGGGTCACTGAGCTGTCTGCAAGGGCTTCTGTCCCCTGTGCAGCCATGGTCTCAGCAGCGGGCACTGTGGGTAGAGGGAGCTGTCGGGGGTGGAAGTCCAGGCTCACGTCAGCTACGTAGGAAAAACCTGACTCAGCTAGTTTTTTCTTCTGGTACTGGGGATTGAACCTGGGGCCTTCACACTGAGCTGCATCCCCAGTTTGTTTATTTTGTGGTACCAGAGATTGAATTTAGGACCCTGTGCTTGCCAGGCAAGTGCTTATTCTACTGAGCTATCTCCCCGGCCCTGGACTAGAACTTGTGATTCTCCTGCCTCAGCCTCCAGAGTAGCTGGGTTCGCAGTTCTCATGCGGCTTTCCAAGTGCCTCCCCTAGAGGCTCACCTTTGGTACCTCTAGTCCAGAGACACAGATCTGGGCGAGAACCTCAAAGAGGGCATGTACCAAGAGCTGCCAGGTTTCCACAGCCATCTTCCTTTGACCTGGAAACCTCCCTTCAGGGAAGATCTTCCTCGTACCAGCTCTGCCACGTGGGCAGCACCGTGGGCAATTGCAGCAGCCACGCTGAGACCTTAGGAGCAACCCAGAAGGCCGGTAGAAGGGGATTAAAGAAAACAGCTTATGGGCTGTGGCGGCACACCTGTGATCCCAGTGCTGCGGAGGCTGAGCCAGGAGGATTGCCAGAAACTAGAGATCAGCCTGGGCTACACAGTGCCTTCAAGGACAGCCTGAACTACAAAGAGGGAGTTTGTCTCAAACAAATGAATAACACACATCATCCCCCTAGCCCTACCAGAGCTTGATGCTGTCATCTAAGCTGGGTCAAGAACGTTAAGGTGCCAAATTGGACCAAAGCTTTTATTATTTTTTTTAACACAAGGTCTCACTACACAGTTCAGACTCACAATGATCCTGCAGTCTCAGCCTCCCCAGTGTTGGGATTACAGGCATGTGCCACCATGCCTGGTTCCAGGGCCTGCACAGTGCGCCTGGGATTCTGGGGCTGGCATGGCATGTGGTACCATGGATTGAACTTGAGACCTTGTGCTGGGCAAAAGCTTTTTGTGGTTTGTGCAGACACTGTTTAAGGAGACACAGGACACTGAGCAGTGGCCAACTTCCAGCAGGAAGGAACCAGGTAGCTCAAGGTGGGGATGTGGCCACTGATGTGGCTTCAGTGTTTGAAGCCACGTCAGGAATACTGCCTGTTCAGAAAACAGCTAAGGCGGGCTGGTGAGATAGCTCAGTGGACTAAGTGCCTGCTTAGGCAAGCATAGGGACCGGAGTTCAGTCCCCAACACCACATGCCACGCCAGCTCAGCTGGATGAGCTGGCCGCTGAGACCGGGCGTGGTGGTGCATGCCTGTAATCCCAGTTCTGGGGAGGCTGAAAATAGGAGGATCACTACAAGTCGAAGCTTTGTAGTGAGACCCTGTACCAAATACATTAAAAAAAAAAAAATCCAAGGACTTAGGGTACTGCTCAGGGTGTGTGCTTTCCTACTGCATCCAAGGCCCTAGGTTTGATCCCCAGCATTGGAAAGAAATAAAACTAAACTTTTAAAAAAATTTAAGCTGGGCCAGGTGTGATGGTTCATGCCTGTAATCCCAGTACTCGGGAGGCTAAGGCAGAAGGATTGCTGGGAATTAGAGGCTACAAAGTGAGCTCAAGGCCAACCTGAACTAACTATGTAGTGAACTGCCTCAAAAAGACACGAGCCAAATAGCTCAGCAGGGGCTGGTGAGATGGCTCAGTGGTCTAAAGCACCTACTTAGAACAACCTTAGCAAAGCACAGGGACCGCAGTTCAATCCCCCAGCACCACATGCCAGCCAGCCCCGCCCCCTGGTGGGTTGAGCTGGCCACACGCGCACACACACATAATAAAATAAAATAAAAACACTTTTTAAAAAAACCAAATAGATCTTGTACAGCAATTAACCACTGAGAAGAATGTATGCAGTGTATTATTTGTTGAAACTGTACTTTCGATTTGATTTGAAACTGTCTCATTGCTATATGTTTATCAATAAAACTTTGAAAAGAAAAAAAAAACCAAATAGCTCAGCAGATTAAAGTGCCTGCAAACAGGTGCAGGGGCTGGGGGTTCGATTCCTGGGCCTGCCATGCCAGCTCTGTCCCCAGGGCACACTAAAACAGTACTTGAGACTGGGTGTGGTGGCGCACATCTGTAATCCCAGCTCTTGGGAGGCTGTAAACAGGCTAATAACTACAAGTCCGATCTAGTAGTGAGACCCTGAACAACCTGTAAACCCTTTCCTAAATTACAAAAAAAAAGAAAGAAAATCATAAAGTCTAGTGTGTGGGACACGCCTGTAATCTCAGCACTCATGAGGCTGAGGCAGAATTCTGAGTTTTTTAAGTCAGCCTGGGTAACTCAAGGAGACTCTGTCCCAAAGTAAAAAGTAGAGAGGCACAGAGGTGCAGCTCCCAAGGCCCGGGTTTCCACCCCCAGTAGCACACACAGAAAAAGAGGGCAGGGCAAGGGGGCAGAAATGACCTTGCTGCTGGTTACCAAGGCCCCTGGCTGGGAAGTGGGACAGACACACTGCAGCCTGTGGATCTGTCCCTACAACTCCTGGCACTGGCACTCCCTTGCAATCCTAAACACTTGATGGGGTACAGGCCAGGTCCGGGCCAGGTCCCACTTAGGACTCAGGTGGCTCCCTCCAGCCCCTCTGTCCATCCATCCCTCCTGGAGTTGGTCACCCAGAGTGACCGCTGTGGACATGGGCAACTTTCAAGTCCTCAACTTGGCGACCTGCACTCAGCTGGTTCCTGCGGCCCAAGCTGCTCTGTGGGGAACCGCCCCAAGTGTCCCACAACACCCCCACCCCAGTCCACCTTCCCCTCTCACACAGTTATCTCAGCACCAAAGAGGCTCAAGCAGGAGGATGGAAAGCTCGAGCCAAGCCACCGTGGGAGAGCTTATCTCAAAATGTAAAATAAAAGAAGACTGCGCCAGGATTGAAGGTCCTGGGATTCAGTCCCCAACAACAACAACAACAACAACAACAACAACAAAACAACAACAAAAGAAAAGAAAAAGAAAAAAGAAAAGAACTAAAGACTTAGACATTCCAAGGGCTCAAGGTCCCTGGCCCATCGGGGAGCAGAGGCCCACAGCAGACAAAGCTTTCGCAATTTCCCGGCCACACCCACCCACGGAACGGCCTATTGGCCCAGGAAAGACCTCCAGGTGGCAGCCAGAGCTGGAGGGCAGCTCCCCGGTGGCGGAGCCATTTGCAAGACGGGGAGAGAGGAAGGGGGCTTTGGAGGACCTGGGAGGGAGAGAGGGCGGAGTCCCCGGGCCACCAAAGTGGTGCTGCGACTGCATTGCAAAAAGCAGCCCGGGTTCCAGCGTAGAGAGCCTCAGGAGGGGACAGGATGTGGCCCGCCCCCCCGATCCTCAGGTCGCAGTCTCTTCCCGAAGTTACAAGTTTCCCTAGACAGGGAGCCCAGGGCGCTCCTTCCCTGGGGTTCTCCAAGATCCTAAGGACCCCACTCCAGGTCGCCCCAGGACGACGCCCGTTTCTCTCACCACAAAAGTCCTGAAACTCCAAGGTCCGGGCAGAAAGTGGCCCGGACGCGGCGGGCTAAGATTTTTACCCGGTTGGAGGGCGGGTCCCATGAATGACGGCCCGGGTAGCCAATCATATCGGGGGATGCCGGCCCCGCCCCATCTGCCCGGAGCCCAGGACGTGACTGTCACTTAGTAAAGTCACGAGTTAAAAAAGGACCCCGTGCCCTGGTGCTGGAAAGGAGGACAGGGGACTTTGGGCTGAGCCGGACCCACCTGGGGATCCTATGAACTCAGCCCTGGGTGGTGAGTGTGTACAATCCGGGGCGCATTGTGTGGGGACTAGGGGGGATTCACACCAGGCACCCCCCCCCCATTTTTTTCAGTCTTTTGAGACAGGCTCTCGCTGTGCATTTCAGGCTGCCTTGAGCCCACTTTTTAGCCCAGGCTGGTCTTGAACACTCAACGATCCTCCTGCCCCACCCTCCCAAGTGCTGGGATTACAGGTTTACGACCACTCCCGGCTCTCCGTTTTCGCAGGGACTAAAGGGAGGCTTCCAGATCCCAGCGGTGGTTGCTGGAGGTTGCCAGAGTGAAGACTCCACATCCCACCCAGCAGTAGAAACAACCTGAATGCCTTGAGTCATCGGGAGCTCAGAGCGTTCTGCCTACACACTGCCAAAGCCAGCCTTTTAATCCTCCCAATACTGTACTGTCCCTTTGTCAACCCCATTTCATAGACACTAAGGCCCAGAGTCAGCCAGCCAGGGATACTATGGGCTCCAAGCCTCAGGCACCCTGACCCCTGGATCAATCCCTTCCTGAAGCTACAATACCTCCCCCCCCACACACACGTATTCTTTGTCCTTTTGGCCTCTACATTTAAGATCTGAGAGTCAGATGGCTCTAGAAGCTGGGTAGGAGGGAATGGCACCATGCCTGGTCCTGGAACAGCAGAGCCTTGCCCCAGGGGAGACTCACCTCGGACCCGGAAGAGCTACAGGAAGTCAAACTAGAAATGTCCTGCCTCTCAGAATACTACCAGGCCGGGTGAAATCTGGTTGGGGCTGCATCCAGCCTTCGACCACCAAGCTGCCACCTCCATGAAATTAGATGGATGGTGTGGGGCTTCCAGGGCCTCTAGAAAAAAGCATGGGGAAAATGAAGTGCCAGACCCTGCATTTTCTCTGACCAGGCTGACACAGCATTGCACCACAGAACTCCTGTGACCTTGGTGATGGGAATGTTCTAGAATTTTCCATCATCCAATAGTCACACCAAGAGTTGGCTCCAGCCAGGGATATAGTTCAGTAGCATGGCGCCTGCCTGGAAAACGCAAGGTCCTGAGTTCAAGTTCCAGAGATGCCTGCTGGGGGTGGAGGCAGAACCTTGGTTGTGCCAGGCAAGCACTCGCCACTGAGCCTCATCTCCAGCCCAAGAAATGGTGTCCAACTTTCTAGATTATTTTGTTGGTTTGAGACAGGATATCACAGTTAGTTCGGGCTGACCTCGGACTCACAGCAGTCCTCCTGCCTCAGCTCCTGGGTGCTGGGATTACAGGTGTGCAGTACCACGCCTTGCCACAGTATCCAATTTTAAAATTTATTTTTATTTATTTTTTGATGGGGTCTTGCTAAGTCATTATGTTGCCCAAGTTGGGCTCAAGCTTGCGATGCTCCTGCCTCAGCCTCCAGAGAGCTGGGATGACAGGTGTGCGCCACTACGTCTCAAATTAAGTAACTACAAACAGGCAGACTGATTCCCAAGTGACTCTAAACCCCCCACCCCATGATTAAGGCACTAGATGATGCAGGTGTCTTCTTCATTTCTTATGCTAGGCTTTTTTTTTTTTTTTTTTTTGCAGAACTGGGGATTGAACTCAGGCCCTTGCGCTTGCCAGGGAAGCGCTTATTCCACTGAGCCATCTCGCCAGCCTCTTCTGCTGGGCTTATTGTGTGCTGGTGCTGACTGTAGGCACAGCTAGGGGCAAAACGTAAAAATCCTGCCCTGGCCCACTAGATGAGCGCCCTGTTCAGAGGCGCTGTATGGGGGCATGAGCACGGCTGAAGGAAGCCAGATAAGAGACAAGGTCGCACGTGTGGGGGTACAGTTTTACCAGGGTGCTCAGGAGAGGCCTTAGCGAGTGATGCCTGGGCACAGGAGTGACGAGGATACAGAGGGGACCATGGAGAAGATAGAACAAAAGGCTTCTGTGGAGAGGGCACAGCTGGGCAAGGGCCTGGGGCAGGAGAGAGCCCCGGGAGGGAGAGGAGCAGAGGGAGGCTGGCTAGGGAGATGAGGTGATTTATTGCAGGTCACGCAGCTCAAAGGGCAGTGACCTAATTGCCCAGATATCTCTGGTTGGGACAAAACCCAATTATGATATGGAAAATTCCTAGGCATTCTGTTGCATCGTGTGTGTGTGTGTGTGTGTGTGTGTGTGTGTGTGTGTGGCAGTACTGGGCATTGAACTCAGGACCCTGCACTTGCCAGGCAGGTGCTTATTCTATCTGTTCACTCTTTGGAGCAAAAAGGGGTAGAATAGGAGTTGGCCCCTGGGTAATGGGAAACCAGAGAGAGGGCCAGAGAATGCTGGGAGATTGGAGGCAGGGCATAGGGGCACCACACACACACACACACACACACACACACACACACACACGCAGAGCCACGTTGGGGAGGCGGGGAGGGAAGGGGAAGGCCCTAGCAGCAGCCGGAGGATTTCCTGAACCTTCCCTGCCTGAGCTGCTCCTGCCATTCTTGTGCCAATGTGCCCTCCCCCCAGAAGCCTTCCTTGTTAACCTCCAAGCTCTGCTAGAATGGGGGTTGGCTGCTGAGACCCAGGAATCCAGGTGACATTTTAATTTCAGATCAATAACAAGCACATACTGCTTTTTTTTTTTTTCTGCCATGAGTATATCCCATGACGTACGTGAGGTTCACAGACTCTCCAACACTCCCTCATTCTTTCCCACCTTGGTGTGCTGCCTGTCATCTCAGCACTGTGGGAGGCCGAGGCAGGAGGATTACTGCAAGTTCAGGCCCAGCCTGGACAACTTAGTGATTTAGGGAGACCCTTTTTCAAAAAAAGTTTAAAGGACTGGGAGTGTAGTTCAGTGTAAAAGATCTGGGTTTAATTTCTGATTCAAAATTCAAATTCAGATATACATGATATCTGTTTTGTTCTCATGTGTGCTAAATCTGATCACCCTCCCTAAATCCGTGCATTCCTCTACCTGCACCACCCGAGCGCCAGCAGAGACCGTGTCACCTTCCAGATTGGGAGACTCCTTCCTTAAAGGGCCATCCTCCCGCCTCAGCCTCCCACGCACGAGCTGGGATTGTAGGCGTCGTGCTGGGACTCGCACCTGGCTCTCTTGGGGGTTTTTATTTCCAAGATTGCCTCCTCCTCTTTCCTCCCCACCACACCCAATGAGAGGGCTCTGAAAATTGACTGGGCTTCCGCTGGAAATTGGGAAGCAGAGGCAAGAGAGCATCCTGCCACCTGGGGGCGCACCGGTTCCAGACAGGCACACACCTGTCCCAGGTGTTATGTGTGAGCCAGGCTGGTGATTTACTGGTTATGCAGTCATTCCACAAACTTTTGCGTTTTTTCCCCCTCTTCCTCTCCCTCCTCCTCTTCTTCCTCCTCCCTCTCCCCCTTCCTCCTCCTCCTCCTTCTCCTCCCCCTTTTTCTCCTTCCTCCTTCTCTTCCTCCTCTTCCTCCCCCCCTCCTCCTCTTCCTCCTCCTTCTTTTGGTACCAGGAATCAAACTCAACCCTGCACCTGACAGACAGGCACTGTGCAGCTAAGCTACATTTCTGGCCTTTTGTTTTCTTGAGACAGAGTCAACTTGGTCTTGAGCTCACTGGTCTTGAACCCAGGCTGGTCTTGAACTTGCAGTGATCCTCCTGCCTCAGCCTCCACAGGTAGGCACCACCACCGCACCTGGCTCAGCAAATAATTATTAAAAGCCAGGGGCTGGGGTCACAGCTCAGCGGCTAAGCCTGCCTGGCAAGCCCAAAGACCAGGGTTCAATCCCCAGTACCACATGCTGTGCTGGCCCTAGAACTCTGGGTGTGCTGTGCTGGCAACTGAAACTGGGAGTGGTGATGTACTCCTGCAATCCCAGCACTGGGGAGGCTGAGACGGGAGGATCACTGTGAGTCCGAGTTGCATAGCGAGACCCTGTACCAAATAAATAAATAAATAAACAATTAAAAAAATTAGAAAAGCTAGATGTAGTGGGGGTGCACATCTATAATCCCAGTGCTCAGGAGGCTAAGGCAGGATTGCTTTGAGTTCAAGACCAGTCTGGGGAGAAAGTGAGCTCAAGGCCAGCCTGAGCTACTTAGAGAGATACTGTCTCAAAGAATAAATATATAAATAAATAAATCATAATAACTAAGCGTTGCTGTGTATCAGTCTCTGAGTACGAGCCTTGAGCACCTTCTGAGGCTCCCATAATTCGCTAGGTAGGAAGAGAAATGTTCCCCTGGGAACAGGCATGGGTCAGACAGGAAAGAGTACAACGAGGGGCAGGACAGGCAGTGTCAGGGAGCACAGAGGCTGCTGCACAGGGGGGCAGAGACCAGGTTGCCAGCATCGAAGGGCACTGGGGAGCCACAGCAGGCTCTGAAGCCAGAGCAACGATGGACTTGAGATCTCTGGGGCTGCCCAGTGGACAGAGCTTCAAAGGGCAGCGGGTGAAGGTGGGGAACCTGGAGGGGAGAATGCACTCCCTGTTCCAGTAAGCAGAGAGGAAGGAGTGCCTCCAGCAGGGGTGGGGAGGGACGGAAGGTGGAAGGCACGCACGCACCCTCACCTGCCCCACCTCAGGCCTCCTCACAGAGCTACACCCCAGTCTTTTTTTTTTTTTTTTTTTCAGAGCCAGGGATTGAACTCAGGCCCTTGCGCTTGCCAGTCAAGCACTTATTCCACTGAGTACACCCCAGTCTTGTCTTTCTCTTTATTTTTTGTCTCTTTGAGACAAGGTCTCCCTCTGCAGTTCAGGCCGGCCTTGAACTCACGGAGTAGTCTTCCTGCCTCAGCCTCCTGGGTGTTGGGATTACAGGTGAATGTCGTCCCAGGCCTTTCTGTTTTTCATTTTGTGACAGAGCTGCACTAAATTGCCCAGGCTGGGCTGTGGTCATCCTCCCTCAGCCTCCCAGGCCCACTAGCCACCTGAATAAATTTTTACATAATCATGTCCCAACTTTTTTTTTTTTTTTACTAGGAATCAAACTATGTCCCAACTCTGTAGGCGACACACATATACTAAAGGCCCACTGGCTGCTTTGAGTGTCCTGACTTTGCTCAGCAATCCTTGCAGCCCCGTCCACATCCCTAATGCCACGTGGCAGTGGACGCCCCTCCTCAGCCACTGTAGCCTCAGGGACAAAAGCCGGGGATCTGTTGCAGCCACAGCAAGTCTGGGCTGGCTGCCTCTGCAGGAAGCCCGGTCCCTTAACATGCAGACCCTGGCCTATTCCCACCCTCCAGGGCTTCAGGGCGCCAACTGCCCGCTGTCCTGGAGTTCCTGGCGGCAGTGGCAGCCTGGGGGAGGGGAGCGGCCCTGAGGCTCAGGTTCCAGACCCTGCCGGCCTCTCCCAGGCCAGCAGGGTCCCGACTCAGGTCCTGGGCCTCCATGCAAATGACGCCACCGGGCCACACAGTCCACCAGCCCTTGGTCCCCACCCCGCAGGCTTTCCTGAGCCTCCATGCTGGCCTCCAGGCAGGGGCAGGATGGGAAGGAGCCAGCAGGGAGTGTGCACATCTGCCGTCACAGCTCTCTGGGATGCTGAGGCAGGAGGATCAAATATTTGAGCTCAACTGGATCCACTGGCAAGAACTCGTCCCACAATTAAACAGGACTGGAGGTGGAGCTCGGTGTGAAGGCCCTGGGTTCTGTCCCTAGTGCCATTAAAAAAAAAAAAAAAGCACTAGAGAAACAGCCCCAGATGCAGCTGACCAGGAGTAAGCCCTGGTGGGCTCCTGTCACTCATGTCCCTTGCAGCTGCCCCACACCGAGGAGCTTTGTTTCATGGCCAGGCTGGCAGAGGGACACAGGCGCCAGGATGTGCCAGTCACGTTGGCGGCAGGGAACAGGCTGTCCTTGGCTCTCCTGCCTGCTGTGCCTTTGTTCCCAGGTGGA